CTTGTTAGCTCTGGTCTTCCGAGTCGTATTAGCGCAGGTGCCTATATTAATATTTGGATTCGGAATTTCACCCTGTCTCTTCTCGGCCCATTCAGCTCCATTCTGGCAATGGGCGCAGTTTTCTATCCTCAAATAAGATATAGTGCTTTTATACTTTGTGCAGAGTTGTTGGTGTTTGGTACAGTAATTGGAAGTCTTGCCACTTTTGTAGGAACGAGGACGGCAATTGCCAAGGTAGGCATTGCCACAGTGATGCTGTCTACCCCATGTCATTCTCGCCTTTCTGATAAGATGAGACAAAGGGGACTGAAACAAGTGATGTTGTATATGACGAAATTTAGGTAAAATATTAGAAAGTTAAGGGGAAGAAAAAGAGACTAAAAGCAACGGCGAATGTATGTGGTAAAACTGGATAAGGTAAAGGTTTTAACGTTGAGAACGTAGAGTTAGAAGTAATGAGAAGGAGCTTGGTATGCAGCAAGAGCTTTTATATTCTCATCACCAAACACCCAAGAAAGTAAACACAGACATTTCACTGACCGAGCCCGTCCTCACTTCTTTATTTACTTGACGCTTATGCCAAAACTAGGCCTGACAAGTCCAGTGCAGGGACAAATTGCCCCACCTCATATCGTTCTACAAGGTCTTTATGCTCTGAACAGTCTCGAAGCATGCAATTCGGGTCCACCTTCAAGTCTGGTTACGAGTTCGGCCTAGCGTTTGTCGGATGCCGTCCTCCTCGTTGGCTTTGGTCTGATCATATTCCCCAAGATGTCGATCATGAAACCGACCCAGGCGTGCCAATCAAGCTAGCCATGCTGAGGTGTAGTGAGATCCCATTCTCCAAAAATGCTAGGGAGATCAAGGCGATCTTTGACGAGGCGGCTGGAGAGGCGTATAGACGTTTTGCTTACTCTAGAAAGTACGTTGCAGCTCGACGTCTCTGGAAATGCGCCATCACTGGGGGATCAACGAGCCAATGGTCTACAGTTAATGCCGAATATTTGGTCAGGGGCTGGTATCTAGAGACCGGCGATACTTGACCTCATCACGAGGATCTTATTCCGGATTCTGACTCGGAATCCGGGGATGATTGCGAGGATTCGGATGATGCAGTTGAAGCAGGTATCTTCGATTCTGACGCTGAGGTTGTTGCTGCTCTTAATATTACGAATAGTTCGCAGGCTCAAAACGGGGGATACGGCATACAGCTCGCCGGTTACCCACCATATCGGCCCTACAATGGTGTAACCTTTCTAGTTTAGATCGATCATTTATTTGACTTTAATATCATCGTTATCGCTTTATTTCGTCCGTGTGACTTTTCTTTGATGCATAAACTTTTAATCTGCGGCTATCTAAGCTTGCAGTTTCTTTCTTTTTGAGAGTATCAGCTCGGCTTCCCAACTCAAAAGTTCCCAAGCACACGCACTACCTCTTATCTCAATAATCTTCCTTACCTGATTTAACCCCTAAACACATATCAAGTCAACGTCGCAAAATAATGTTTCAAGTCAGGCTCAGGGGCCATTGTGAGTAGTACCTAGCTAAAAGTATCAAATAAATGTTGAGGCAGTGCGCGGCCTACAGGTATCTTTGGCATATCAACGCTTGATCTAAGTGCAATAAGACCACATTGGTCAAGAAAGGGACTATAAGTGGTGATCATGCGAAGGAATGTACGATGTTCTATATAAAAGCAATATGTGGCACTAATCTAGGTAGGCAGCTAGTTCCCGTCGTTTGAATCATGTTGTTCTTGCGGCCAAGTTAGGTAAGGTATGGTGCGCATTTCGAGCAAGAAGCCTCACCATACTCCGCCATTCTCAAGCCTTATTTTTATAATACACCGAAAATACAATATCTTAACTGGCATATCAGCCCCAAAAAGTTCCTTCACATAGTAGGTATTTGACCGACTGAGAGTACCTCTATGGTCTTCTTGGTTGCATTTTATTCTTCGCGCCGTCACAGGCAGGGCAAGGCTCTGTCTTGAGGTAAACTAACTGAGGATGAATGCGACAAATTTTCTGGTGAGCTGTTTTATTCTTCGCACCGTCACAGGCAGGGCAAGGCTCTGTCTTGAGGTAAACTAACTGAGGATGAATGCGACAAATTTTCTGGTGAGCTGTTTTATTCTTCGCACCGTCACAGGCAGGGCAAGGCTCTGTCTTGAGGTAAACTAACTGAGGATGAATGCGACAAATTTTCTGGTGAGCTGAACAGAGACCATTGGCGCGACGGCAATTCCCCTTGCGTGCCAAGGGGCAGTGGTGAGTTGTCCTACTCATTCGGTTAGGCATTTTGGAGGAATTGGGAGGGTATATGACAGGCTTAGAGCAGTTTGATGAGCCTTGTTGATATTGGCTTTCGGCTTTGCTGTTAGATGCGGGTGAGAGTGAAGATCAACATCACAGCAACAGGCGGCTTCACGGTGCGGTAGCGAGTTTTATAGATCTAGGATTCTATGGGAGAAAGCGATCCAGCTCTCATTCAACTTTCCAATTCTTTGTCCGTAGAGAACTTAAATAGCACTACCCTGGTCGTGTATTGAGCTATTTTAGGTATGATGTGGCTCTTTTGTCAGGGCTCCGCGTAAACCTCAGCATCTCACTATGAGGGGGCTTCTTTGTGGAGAGTAATGACAGTATCAAGAGAATAAACCAGGACTATATAACAGCATGATAACCGTTGTCTAAGTTATCCTAGATTATGCTTTACAGGTGCGGTGCATGTATACTGGTGGAGGCAGCATTCAAGTTCTGTGACCGAACTTGGTACGAAATCCTATGGTCCGTAAGATAACTTGATAAAAGGCACACATGTAATTGAGAAACTGTGGATAAATAAAATCCTCAGCGCAATGCAAACATTGTACCTGATCCAAAATCCAGATGTACTGATAAGAAAGAATAGTTCGCATCATCCACCATTCCCATATGAATACAGGAATAGTACCCTTTCTTTGTTATAAGCAATGTCTCGACTTCGCGTTACCTTCGGTCTTTGTTGCCTCGCACGGGTACACGGGTATATTTGTAGCCAGCTTTGAAAGCGATTTCCCAACTTCAGCGGCTGAAACAAAGAAGCTCTATTACATCTTTGAACTATTACGTCTTTGAACAGTGGTCTCTATTACTCCGGCGCTGTTTTGCAAATCAAAGAGGGATCCGGTCTTCTTGACCTCAGCTTCTAAGTTGTAGGTCACTACCTTACCCTGGTATCTCAGACCCCTCAAGCTGAAACGAAAACCTGGTGGTCGTCTTCTCGGCACTACCTAAGCAAAAGTCCGAGGGGCTTTTTCGGTACTTCATGCTCAGAGTTCTATCGTTCTAACGCTCCTACAACCTCGAGATTTAGCTACCTACCGGACTCTATCACACTCTCTGTCCTCTTGAGACATTGCATAGTTAGGAATGGCCACCGTTGACCCAGCAGATCCGCCTCTCGAGGTTGATTCAGATGTAGATTCACAATCACATAGTCGGTCAGATGCGGAGCCCGAGACAGACTCAATCATCAATCAAGTTGAGCCCTTTGAGGCCTACCAGCACCGTGTCCTTACGCTCGCCCAAACCGTCGTCTGGCCAGATGCCGCACCTGATGAGATCACCGTGGAGCGACTAGGAGGCGGATCATACAACCGCATTATAGGCATCACTAGACACGCTGGAACAGTGTCCGAAGCTACTCGGTACATCTTACGCATACCATGGTGGCATGATGAGAAAACCGCTGTCGAGAATGAGGTGGCTCCAATTCGGTATTTGCAGGGACATACCGACATCCCATCCCCTGGGGTCGTGATGTACGACAAGACTGCCAATAATGTACTTGAATCGCCCTATGTGATTCAAACCAGAATTCCCGGTCATGATCTTCACCGGTTTTTGGTCGGTGACTCCGAGCTGAACACTGCCGGCCACTTGCGACAAATTACCCACGAAGGATGGTGCGCACTCGCCCTCGGGCTCGGTCAAATTGTTCGCAAGCTGCTCTCTATTCGCAACAACATTGCCGGACGACTCCTCCCAGATCCCTCGGACGCTAATAACATTCTTGTTGCTCCTTTTCAGAAGGCCTTGAAAGAAGAACCACAACCTGTTTCTCTCAATCCTTCATCACCACCGACAGAAACTGCTGCTTCCCTGCTCGTGGGAATGTTCCGCTACGAAAGAGCCAGAGAACTGGATTTAGACCCAGACAGCTTCCTGACACTCATGCCGGACTTTGAAAAAATGACCACGGAGATTTCAGAGGCAGGATTTCTCGACGATATTCCTGTAGCTTTATGTCATCTCGACCTTTACCCTCGCAACATCATCATCAACTTCTCTGATTCCGAAGGCGCGACCAAGGGCATTCCAAAACTGGAAGCGATTCTAGACTGGGACTCAGCCGTCTTTGCTCCCGCCTTCATGATCTGCGAGCCGCCGGTATACCTCTGGAATCACAAGCTCTACGAGAACGGAGAAGAGGATGGGGATTGCGAAGATTGGCATATTGATCAGACCTATGGTCCTGTGACGGAGGATGATAAAGAAGTCAAGAGAATCTTTGAAGAAGCGGCTGGAGAGGAATATATGCGCTTTGCGTATGATCCGGCTTATCGCTTGGTCCGACAACTGTTTCGCTTCGGCATGAAGGGCATTCATTCTTCTTGGGAGCTTAGAGATGGACAGAAGTTACTGGACTTCTGGCAGAAGATCAAGAAACCAAAGGAAATTGCCAGTAGATTTACTGAGAGTATGGAGAGTGTGGAGATAAATCGAAGACATGAGACGGATCATACCACGATGGAGGAGGCCAAGAGCACAGATATAGGGCTCAAAAGCTGGCTGAAAGGGGTCATGGAGAAGATTCGAAGGTTCATCAATATGTAGTTTTTTGTGTACCTTAGGATGTGAAACCTGATGTTGTTAGGAACAGAGTCAAGTGTTGTATGGTTGTTTAAGGTTGGATTGGAGGGCAAAGGAGCAGGTAAAAGGTACAAAAATGAGTGATGAGAGTGGGATTCGAACCCACGCCCTTTCGGACCACGGAATCTGGTGTATGGTAACAGATGTTGATTAAGGAGGACCTTGGCGTGGCGCCTTAGACCGCTCGGCCATCTCACCGTATGGTTTGTTGGAGTTTTAGTTTCACCCTTGCATCCAAGAGGAGGGCACATTCCGCTGTCAAGATAAAAAGAATATTTTTCTTCCTCTGAGCCGCAGCGTTACATCGTACAGCATATGCCAAGATACACTTGCTGGGGTGGTGAGCTTCTCCGCATCACATTCCCCGCACAAACCCCAACACTCCAGCTCCAGGCTTGCAGTGACAGGGGCTCCAATTGGGCGTGGTTGATGGACGCGAAAAATCATAAGAGTCAACCACCTCAGCGTCAGCTTCTACTTTTCATCATCTCTTCGTCGAGAATTCGAGTTGAACTTACACTCAGATCGCAAAATGGCAGTCGAGAATTCAACATGGCGGAATAATGTTTGGTTGGTGTGGTTTTATATCGTGTTTCCCATCACTGTCCGTAAGTTTAAGTTCATTACTCTCACTCGTTGTTGACACTGTGCTTACCTATGATACTCTCTCTCAAAAGTTATCGATCTCCAAGAGGTCATCTACCCGTCCTCGTTTCTCGTCCCGGCCGACGCACCTTTGCATTTCGCCTACAAGGCCAAACAAGACTACATCGCCAAATTCAACGACCCAATCGTACAATGGTCTCCCGAAACCGCGTCCGGTCATGACAGTTGGATGGGGTTATTGATGCACCTCGAGTTCTTTTTCCTGCTTCCTGTCATGATCTACGCCATGTACAAGATGGGGATTAAGCAAAAGGGGACAAGCGGCCCGGATGAGCTTCTGTTCTTTGTATATGCGCTGTATAATGCGTTCACCACTGTGATCTGCATCTATGATTCGTTTTACTGGGATAAGACCATCTGGGCGGATGAGAGCCAACTGTGGACCTTGAGATCGGCATACTACGCGCCGTTTGTATTCGTCCGTAAGTGATTCAGCTGCCTTTTGAGCCGAAAGCCATGGCATGACTGACGCACACCATCACAGCACTTCTCGGGGCGTTTGATATGGGCTCGCGGATTCTTTCTCGGTTCAAGGCAGCGGATGCAGCGGCGGAAGCCAAGAAGATCGAATAGTGGCTGGATTGCTGTGACCCACCGTTTTGACAGTGCCGTCCAGGGGGAGATCGAACATCAAACATTTAGGCCCGATGCTGTGGCGTTGAAAAGAGTACTTGACGCTCCAAGCATCAATCAAGTGGGAGGTGGCCGATCTGCCCTGAAGATGAGAAGAAAGTGGAAAAGGCATGGATGGAAGCGAGCTGCATCTTGAAAAATACCTATCTGTCCCTGCGTCTGTTGAGATACCTTATGTGAGGCTTTGAGTTTGTGCAAATGGTGCTGAGCATGAATGATACAGTGCTCCATCTAATGCACATCTCAAGCATGTAGTTACCTACGTAGACTTCCTCTCTCCAATTTGGAGGCGAAGAATCCTTGTTTGCAGGTTCAATGAGGGTGCCTTGGATGCCTAGTGCTTATCTGATGCTGCGACAGTTGCAATAGAAGCACAGACCGTAGACTACCTGTAAAAGCTCAGATGGGTAAAGTAGCTGTTGAATCGGTTTACCCTTCCCAAGAGACATGGAACTTTGAAGCTCGCCCTTTGCCCCTTTACCTGTATACGAATCCGGTTGGTACCTTCATCTGCTCTGTTTGAACAGCAAATATATCATCCAGAGGGCACGTACTTCAAGCTCTGCGCCCTCACCAACAACTCTCGTTATTCACTTGTTTTCAGTATAGGTATGCGCAACAGGAGTACCATTTCGGACATTTAAGTTTGCGCCTTTTGTAACTATAAACCCAAGTAATAAATACTCCGAACAGCTGAGAAGAATACATCTTAATAATCCCCCCATTCCAATCGCATCAAATGATCATTACAAAGTTCTTGAGTGCCAAGCGCCCAACTCCGGCCGTCCACTTCATCCCATCGATGATACATGGCCAATCCCAATCAACATGGGTCGGTCAGTCAATAGCCCTCTTCTGACCCCCGCCTGAATACCCCCATCCGTTCCCAACTCCTATGCCATATCCCAGTGGGGTTGCCCCTCCTAGCGTCCTCCCTCTCAACCTTTTCGGTAGTATAATTCCAAAGAAATACGCTCCTGCCACGACGACTCCTGCCCCGAATGACAACAGCGAATAAAATACTGTCGAAGCATAAATGTGCCCTCCCATTCCCTGCCACTCAACTCTCCCTTCCGTCTTGGGCAAGGCAGGAGTAGGGAACCACCTAACGCTGAACTTGAAAGGTAGCGGGTCCCCAATAACCAGTCTCACAGTGTCACCTCCTTCCATGTGCGTCAAGGGACTTGTCGAGTAGGCTGTCGCAGAGTCCAGGACCCCACTATCACGCGGATGGACATGTTGTTTGGGCGTGCTATGCAGCAAAATATTCATGTGCGTCGAGATATGCATGTGGCTCAGCTGCAGTGTCCCGGCAAGCGCAAAAACCAAGGGAATGTACTCTTGCTCGGGCTGTTTTTCACCCACCACCTCGATGTGTGGCGGGGGCCGAGCCGGCAAACGGCAGGCGAGGGGAGCATCGGCGTGGACATAGAACTCGAGGAGGTGGAAGAAGGGGTCAGAGATCATGGGGATGGTGCAGTTCTTCTCTTCTTCAATTCCGTAGCGGAATTCGAGTGGGGAGGACGTCTCGTTGCAGGTCGGGAAAGGGATCCATTGGATCTCGTGGGTGGGGGAGTCGGGAATGGATACGTGTTCGCCCGTTTCTCTATTTGTTTGCACATCAGAAGTCAGTGCATGGAACTTGCGATGCGAAGAGGAGGCAAAGCGAAAAGGCGTACGAGCTGCGATTCATACACTCAACCCGGATGGGAGCGCCGTAATGGTAGGACGGCAGTGCGATTTCGTGATGGCTTGCGCTGGAAGCAAAGGCAGCTTGACCGAAAAAGGAAGCTGTCAAGGCCAGCAGCGGCAGTCGGGACCACGGCCGTAATATCATCACTGTGTGTTGTCGATGTCCCAATGTCAGCTACCGCAGGGACATTTTGCGCCGTGGCATTCGATGTCGGCGAGGATGCGCAATCGATTGCAGACGGCCGGAACCAAGTCAATCCATCACAGGTGGATGTCACACTGGAGCTTCCCCAGACTTTTGGTTCTGCGCGCACGCGTGTCCACTTTCAGCTGGACCGACAAGGATGCGAAGCTGAGTCATCATCGCGGTGGTGGCTTGACCCTAACCCTGAGAGGGACTTTTTCTTTTTACCCCTTTTACCCTTTTTCCACCAAAATCGGTATTTGATGCAAGTTTAAATCTTGCAACAAAAGACTACCCGTGGCTGACTGCTAACTCAAGTAAGGTAACCTACCTACCTGTTCGTCTATCTACCAATTCGACTTCTAACCTTGAAATGTGACAAATTTATCCCCTTAAAGTCCGCATCTCAATTCAGCGGAGGAAGAGAAAGTCACGAACAAGATATGTTACATCATGGGATAATAACGCGCTCAGTAGGACTTAGTGGTGTCAAACTCGCATACCCTAATTACCACATTTGGAGATTTTTCTTTCTCGACACAGCATTAATCATTACTCTGTTGAACAGAAGCATAAATAATTAACTCGGCCATCGAGAAGTGACTTCAAGATCTATATATGAAACGGAGAAGACTTTACTGGGGCAAACTGGTCCAAGTAATTCACCGACGATATGTGGATGGGAACAAGTAAAGGCAGAAAGGGATTGAACATTACCTATTGATTTCTCGGAGACGTCTGTATCAGTACAGATCAACTTCATTTACAGTTTATATACAAACTACCTTACCAACAACGACATATTTACAGACGACCATTGTCCTCCTATCTCATATTTCTGGCTGGCATACTCCTCATGTACCAGCATCTAAAGACATTGGTGATAGTAATCATTCAGCTTTGTGCAGGTCGTGCCTGCAACACAAACGGTGGGACCAGTCCATCCATTGCCACCGCACTGTCCCCACCGAGGAGCAGTAGGACCAGGGGCCGGTGTGGTTGTGGGCTCAGGGGCGCGGGAGGTGGTGACCAAGGTAGTCTGAGGATTGCCAGGATCGGGGTTGGGGTTGGGATTGCTGCTGCCATCGGCCTGGAACTGTCTCCAGAACTCCCAGGTGTTGCCAGGGGCGAAAGGAGTGTTGCTTCCCTGGTCTTGCTGGGAAGGGTTGTGGTCGCCGTCGAAGATGACCCACGTCACGGGCTTGCCAGGCAAGCAGTTTCGGTACTCAGTTTTGGTGGAACGGCCGCCGTTAGGCTGAGGTTCGGGATTGAGAGGGGTGCACCCGTTGTTTTGAACAAATCGATCTCGCATTTGGCGGCCCTGCGAGATGCTCAGGACCGAGTCGCGGGTGCCGTGCTGGTGGTAGTATGCCACAGGCTGGGTGCCGCCATTGCAGCCACTGAGAACAGCGCTAGAAAGAACCGAGATAGCTCGGACCTGGCCAGGCCGAGAGCAGGCCCAAGAGTAGGACATGGCGCCACCATAGCTGAAGCCGGTAGCAAAGCGCAGAGACTGCTCAACGCAGAGATCATTCTCGATGGTGCGCACCATATTGTCAACAAAAGTGATATCTTCACCTCCGGTATTGGCCCATCCTTGGTTGAGGCCGTTGGGGGAGATGAAGATGGCACTGTTGTTGCCCGTCATCAAGGGGGAAGGCCGTACCAAGCGAGGGTACCGCCGCCACCGTTGGCGATCTGCTGAGCGTTGCCTCCCAGAGCGTGGAAGGTAAAGACAAGGCGGTATGCAAAGTTGCGGTCATAGTTGTCGGGGAGGCGAACGATGTATTCTCTCTGTTTGCCGTTCACTGTTGTTGTGTATTGGCCGTTGCGGATCGTTGGCGTCTTGCCGCAACCAGGAGAGCGCGCACCCAGAACCGGGGTGACGCACGAGAGCGCCAGGAGCGCGATAGTCGAGAACTGCATGTTGACTGGACGCCAGAGACCTCAGGATGTAAGTCGACGAGTATGCTCCTCGTTGTTGGGCGGTGATCTTCCCGAAAGAGGTGCAAAGGAAGTCATC